TTGTGTATTGTACCTTGACATTAATTTTAGCTCTAAATAAATAAATTATAAATAAATTTATTTCAAATATGGGTTATTTTGAATACTCTGTAGACCTGTATGTTTACACTTGAGTGCAAGGTTTTCTACTTGATTTTTAAGACAATGTGATCTCAGCTCACACTAACTATGTGAATTAGACGTTAGCAAGGATTGTAGTCTTATTGGAATATGAATGAGTGACAATAAACTTATTAAATCTATTTTCAAACAATATGTAACACTGTGGCATTAACTCAGCCGACCACTAGTTCATGAATGAATGAACCGAAAAGGGAGATTGGGGTGGGGGGGCAGCAAACGACGTTCTGTAGTTGAGCTGTCAGCACCGTGTCAGATGGAAACATGAATCTGACAGTTGATGCTCGTGTCTGATCTTATAACCACTGTGGTGATGAGCACAGCGGAGGTGCATGAGAACGACCACAGAGCAAGTCAACGAATTTCACTGCACGTTCTACTTAAACTTTCGTGAAGAACATGTGTTAACCTGTTGAATTTCAGTGACCGTTTTCTTCACAGAAACAAGGTGTAAGTGTTTTCAGTGTTTGTCTTCCAGTTTCTATCACGGTGCTTTGAGCTTAAATCTGGAACGTTGGATGTTGAACTACCTGAAATCTTAATCTGAAATATTCTGGCCAATCTTGACCAGAAATGTTAAAATGAATATGCCGACATGCTTGATGACTAAAATATATTGGGGGAGTGGTGGCGCAGAGGTTAGAAGATGGGCCTGTGATCGGAAAGTCGCAAGTTCACCTCCCGGTACCTCAACATCAAAAGAATGTGAGTGGAAAAGGTGAAACACCCACACCTGACTCCACCCTCATTCACCATCTGCTCCCTAAACAGGTCTCTCTTGAAAATGAGTTCTCATGGCTCAATGAGACTACCTGAATAAATAAAGGCTAAATGAAAAAAAAGAAAATATATATCTATAAATCTAGAACCAGACTCACTGGAATGGTTCTGAGCGCAGGCTTCAGGAAGCTGCAGCATAGCTGCATCCTTGGTCTCAATGAGGAATGCAAGCAATGTTGGCTATCTGTCCTGGGAAAACTGGAGGGCAAACACAGACACAGTTTCCCACACTGTGTGTTTGATAAGAAAAATGAACCAAAGAACAAAAGAGAGAGAGAGAGATAAAACGAAATGGTTTGGATGCAAGGATGCAGACTGGACATGGGGAGCTTAAAAAGAATATTTTAAAATAAAATAAAACAAAAGGGCTTATGAGGCCGCAAAACATACACACTTCAGTGTAGACACAGGGAGCCCCATGGAGAAAACTGACTTGACAATGGCTGTTTGGACTGAGGATGAGCAAGGAGATGGGAAACAGGTGAGCTTAACGAGACAGGGAACAGGTGTGAGTAGGTATGGCAAGAATAAGGAGCATGAGCTGAACTGAGGAAAAGTGCTGAAAAAGAAGGAACTCACAGGGAAACTCAGGGAAATGGTAAATGGACTGTACTTATATAGCACCTTTCTATCTGATCAAGACACTCAAAGTGCTTTACACAACAATCTGTGCCTCATTTACCCGTTCACACAGCACTCTACTAGATCTCTACAAAGATAATTGAACAAATCAATCTAAAGAGACTAATCAGAGCTTTATCACATTCATACACCAATGGGACACACATCAGAGGCAATGAGGGGTTCAGTGTCTTGCCCAAGGACACTTCGGCATGTGACTGCTGGTGGATTTGAACCCCCAACTCTTTCATTGGAGGACGACTGTTCTAACCACTCAGCCACAGCCGCCCAAAGAAAACAGAAAATAAACACACACAAAAAAAAATCTAACAAAAAAGTCCACCAAACAGCTGAAAAACTCCGATACAGTCATGTTTGTAGCTAGTGAGAGTTAATAAATGACATAAATGCATAAAGGACAGGAGTGATATGAAAAGCAGGTGATAAATAATTTAAATGTTGCATAAACATTATAACAAGCATTTAATGGGTTGGCTTCAACACTCCTGATAATGCTGTGTCCTACTTGTGTTACAGACTGCATGAAAACTTTGCTGAAATACAATGGTTTAAAGAAAGACAGAGCATCGATTCCCACCATGCTAACTGGAAACATCAGCCTAACCTGCCTGCAGGAAGAATCAGGTTACACCACAGCTCTGACACCAGAGGACCAGCCGCAGCACGGCTCACAGGCTTCATACTCACAAATGTTCTGGTGCATGCTCAATAATCCTGGTAGAAAATCTAACAAAGTTAAATTGGGTCCTCTGGATGGATTAAAAAATGAAAAATAATAATAATAAAAGTTTTTTTTTTTTAAATGTTGAAACGTTTCGTCTTTAATCTAAAAGACTTTGCCAGTCTGAGGAATTGTAATAAGCTCAGTCTTATAAATAGCACCTTCTCATAGTGGATCAACCAATTTGCTGCTGACAGCTAGAACTAGTTATTCACGTGATAAAGGAGGACCATCAGCCTAACATTAGATCATTAGTGCCAGGAAGGTCTATTGCTATTCACAGAGGGCTGAGTGATACTAGGACTGTGAGGTCTCAGTCTCTGATAGAGGACATTTGCAAACTGAGGTGTACCGCAAATCTGCCTACACAGACCAGTATTTGCAGGTTGACTCCCATCACCCTTTGGAGCACAAGTTAGGAGTCATCAGGACTCTATATCACAGAGCAGACAGCGTCCCCACTAACTCAGGATCCAGGCAGAAGGAGAAATCCCACACAAAACAGGCTCTAGAGCAATGTGGATATCCTAACTGGGCCTTCCTGAAAGCAGAGAAGAAACCCAAACAGGACTCCAGTCAGCCATCAGGTGAAAAGAAGGAACCCAGACCCAGACCAGTGGTCATTCCATATGTTGAGGGAGTATCAGAGAAACTGAGACGTTTATTTTCTAAACATAACGTCCCAGTGGCTTTTAAACCCCAAAATACATTACGGCAAAGACTGGTTCATCCCAAAGATCCAGGCCCCCGGCACAAACAGAGTAATGTTGTGTATGCTGTTCAGTGTCAGGAGGGTGATCAGTCTTACATCGGGGAAACTAAACAGCCACTGGCCAAAAGGATGGCCCAGCACAGAAGATCAACATCATCAGGCCAGGACTCTGTGGTGTAGTGAACTAGGCCTGAGGTCAAATCCTGACCTTAAGGACCTTATGGGACAGAAACTGTCATTTCATTGATTTGAATCCAGAAATACAGGTTGACCCATCCTGAGACTTTCTTTCTTGGATTAATCAAGTGAAAGAAGACTACTTTCTATTATCATTACTATTTCACAAATGTTTGATAATCAAATTGTGTTAGTTCAAACAATATTTAAATGTTGAAGTGAACTACTCATTTTTAATTAACTGTGAAACAGTAATAATGATTTTTAATCCTCATTCAAAGTGAAATCAAGTTGGAATATGTTACAGAGTAATGATTCAATTTCTTGATCGTCTGTTTGAAATGAGCAAGTGTGTAAGTTGGTCAAAGTTCAAGTTTCGGTCAACTGCAAGTTTACTGAAAAAGAAATGTCATGTTTAACTTTTACAGCAAGATACTAGAGAATTGACTCCACGAAGTCTGGGTTCTTCATAATATCTTCTGTCTGTTCTTAAACAATCTTAATCTTTTTCCTTGACTTTTTAATAACACCTTACATCACAAAACACACCTCTGTTGGTCCATCGACCAATCAGAAACTCCCAAATGAACCGGAAACAAAGCTCTTTAAATGTCGGTACTTCCTAGTTCAACCCAGTTGGAGTCGGGTGGAGAGTTTGCAGCTCCAGTCGTTTGGGAGAACAGAAGTCCGACATGATCCAGAGCTCTTCCGAGTCTTATGGGATTATGACATCTTCCACCTCTGAGTGGAACTCTGACGGACTCCACTCATGTGAAGTCCACTTGTGAAGTGAACTGTGTCGGACGGAATACCGTCACTACTTCGGACGATTCACAGCTGTTCCTACGGAGACGCTGAAAGGGTGCGTTAAATGGAATTTCGTACCAGGGAGACATCTCCAGGTAAAAGAGATTTATACCACCTAAGTGTACCGGGGAAGAAGCTGGGAAAAACCCGGAGAGTGCCGTTCTGATGCCGACACAAACATTTTCCCTCATCCAACTTTTCTCCCTCTAAACTTCATCTTTCCATCTTTAAAATTCTTCTATCTGCTAGAAATCATTCCAGATATTTTTAGAAGTTCTGTTGTACAGCTGGAAGCAAAGGGAAACAATCGCCGTATTGTTTACTCCTTGTAAAACTAGCCTAAATAAGCTGTTGTTATTTTCAATTTTTGCCAATTAATGTAAATGTGTGATGTGTTAAACTTGATTCTGTTAATAAATGACCCACTGTCGTTGGTGAGTCAAAGATAATTAACGTCTCACGTCCACATTTTATTAAATTCAATGCACATTATATACAGTCCAGAAAAATGAAAGAATCCGTTTAATTTATGAATATATATCAGCATATGTTCATCTACAGTGGTCTACACTCATCTCCAGGCCAGCAGTCACTCTTTCAAGGATGAAGATGTTCACATCCTGGACAGAGAGGAACGATGGTTTGAGAGAGGAGTAAAGGAGGCCATCTTTGTGAAAAGAAATCGTCCATCATTAAACAGGGGTGGAGGCCTCCGGGTTCAACTGTCCCCCTCTTACAATGCTGTGATTGCTAGTATCACTCAGCCCTCTGTGAATAGTAAACAGCCATCAGTGTGCTAATGATCTATCACATTTCAAATTTTTTATTTTTTTCATTAATTTTCATTGTTGAATCCGTGCAGAGGACCTGACTTAACTTTGTTAGACTCACAAATGTTGTGTTACAACGTGAGCGTGTGCATAATATATATAATAAAAATACATACATAGAACCTTTCCATGCATCCATGTGACTTCTGAATGTGAACAGAGAAGTTAAAACAACTACAGCCAAATCTGTGTTTGCAGCTTTGACACTTACCAGGTAGGATGAGTGGACCCCTGGTGCCTAAAGGAAAAGTGTTCTTCAGGCAGTTAGGTTCTCCGATCTTCTGACAGGTGAGCTCATGTGCTTTCCATTCCTTAAAAATCAATTATTGATTTTTAGGTGGGGAAAAAAGAGAAAAAAAGAAATGAAGACAATTTGTAAACCAATCATAAATTAAAAATAAAAATAAATCAGTTTAACGCCAAAACCAAATCTGAACTTACAAGTCAAAGTGACCTGTGTCTGTACTGTGTTTGACCTATGGAAGTGTCATGGTACATTTCTTTCTGCATCTAATCATGTTTTTCCACAAACAAGCATGCAAATACTAATGCAAATAAAAATGCAAAGAACAACATTATTAAGTGTTCAGTTGAAGTACTCTACAAAGACTGAAACCAGAACCTTCTCCTCTCTTTCAGAACAAACCGAGGAGAGGACTGGGTTATTACTGGTTTCCTATTATGACTCTGCACCTTTCCAGTGCTGTCACTAGATGTTCAACACGTCTTTATCAATAAAAATCACATGATGACAAATCCTCTCAGGGACACTCAGAAATGTTTTACGCAGATAACAAAAAATACTATTACCATAATAGCAAAAATGTGACAGTAATTGTAATTTCTTATGACTAGATTAAAAAAATAATAATAATCTGATCCTCATCTTAAAGCTTGATAATGACAGCACAACACATTTTAATGTCTTGAAGTTTATCAAATTTAGGTGAAAGTGTCGGCATCTGTGGGTGAAAAAGTTTGATTCAATAGTAATAATTTTATTAATACAATTTTTGAGGTATTTGGTTGTTTTTAATTGTTAGCATTCATTGTGAAAAGTTGCACTTTGTGAGGACTTGCACAAGTCAAATAAATGTCCTGTCAGTGCTCTCTGGTGGACAGAGCATTATCTGGATGTTGGGCACTCTAATCTCTGCAGCTCTGTGTTGAAGCATCGCTTCAGCTGTGTACAGAACGAGCACTGGCTGAAAGTCTAGCTCTTCTGGTCAGTTAACTCCACAGCATTATTATAGCCAGTGTCTGGATGTGTCCACGACTTTCAATAAATATCCCGATGCATGATCAATTATCCAGGTAGGAAAATCTAAGTTGAGTCAGGTCAGGACGGATGCAAAAAATAAAAATTATTTTTTAAAATTTTTTTGCATCCGTCCTGAGGACCTGACTCAACTTTGTTAGACACATAAAAAATAAAAAAAACTGTGAAGTAATTGTACAGTCCATTCTTATTTTTCCTCTGTACTTCACTTACAGTAAACTTGTCATGAAGAAAGCCAAAGTGCTGACAAATGATTAAAATCATCTGTCAAACAATAAGTGTCTGACATGGAAACCAAATATAGTTTGTATAAACCAGTGAATAAATCTTAGGTGTTTGCTAATTGAGTGTGTGAACAACACGTCACACCCCCTGCATGACACACTGGACTCTTACTGCTGCACCTTCAGTCGTTCACTGAGACCACCGAGGTGCTGCACAGGACAACACAGGAAGTCCTTCCTCTTTGTGAGTATCAAACTTTTCCACTCCTCCCCCTTTCTGCACATTGGACAATTAAATTAATCTTGTGCCCAGTGTTGCCAGATTGGGCGGTTTTCATTCTGATTGTGCGGGTAAAAATTGCTTTGGGTGGGTGGGATAATTTGGGTGGATTTGGAGTCAGATAGGCGGTTTTTGAGTTAAAATATTAAACACATTTCAAACAATCATTCATCATTATTTCATAGCAAAGCTCCCCTGACCTTTCTCCATCACTGAGTGGCTAATGTCATCTGTGTTGTTCATAGTGACAGTTTTAGTAGACACCTTGTTGAGTGGGCTGGCCCGTTGCAGCGGTACGTCGGAGCAGCCGCCATATTGGACGTGGCAGAACTGATACAAGGTAATGAACTGAACTTTTAAAGTGATTATTAAGAATGTTTACTCCTTAAATGTTTAAGTTAAATGTAAGCACTAAACCAGCATGTGTTATTTTAAGTGTTTACAACTACTAATGTTATCACACTGTTATTTGACTGCTGTATGTCACACTATTACTGTGGTAATAAATATAGAAATATTCATAATGAACATTTAATCTGTGTCTATAATGATCATATCATGAAATGTGACGTGTTGATTTTCTGAATAAAGAATACTAATGTTCATATTTAACTGATTTTGATTAATCACATTGATGAACATATAAACACCAATATATTTTACAGGGGGTGGGGGGTATTGTGTGTGTGTGTGTGTGTGCGTGCGTGCGTGTGTGTGTGTGTTCAAACAGTAAATACAGGTCCTTCTCAAAAAAATAGCATATTGTGATAAAGGTCAT